TGTCTTGGATCTGCTGCTGAATTAGCTAGCCTGGACCTACCCCTGCAGCTATTTTTTTGCTGTGGCTGGGGTCACTTGCAATGTCAGCTAAGCATCTCAGGTGACTGGGCTCCTCTTTTGTTTTGTGTCCAATTCCCATCTTAGGTCAGGGCTCTGTGAGTGGGTCCCACCTGGTTTCTTTGCTCATTCCCCAGTTTCCCCGAGGCTGGGATTTTCCCTTTCTCTTCTCCATGTTGTAAGAACTCCTCTCTGGGGCCTGAGGGTCTGCCTCTTGTGGACAGATCTTGTTGGTATTGTGTCCTAGCCTGTCTGCTGGGTGTTCCCTCTAACCAGAGCTTGGGTGCCCTGTTGCCATGCTCTGCCCACCTGGTAATGTCACCTTGTGGGTTCTCCAATTCTGACCACCTGCCTGGACTGCTCGCTAATGCAGTCACTGCGTCTCTGTAACCACACTCCACCTGTTTGGCCTCCCCTCCTACCATCTTGCTCCCGGGCCTGTTCCCACATACCCCCAGCCAAGTGGGAGTATTGTGTTTCTAGCTCCTGGTCGCTCCTCACCGAGCTTGTCTAACGGTCTGGTTCTGACAGATTGAAAACCAACTGGAGATGTCACCGCCTAAGAGTGTAATTGTTCCTGGTTTAGCTTCTGAATGGGGTTGAAATTTCAAAATCAGGGCTCTTGGTTAGGACACTGGAACCACTTCTGCTTTAAGCAAAATGTAAGATCCCCTGAAAGAAAGAAAAAATGAGCATTGAGAAATAGGGAGTGGCGAATAGAAATGGTGGGAATACTGGATTTTCCCCAAAACTCTTTCACTGTACCCTGGAATGTCTTTCCTTTGAACAAACTCTGTTTATGAAAGCTGATGTGCAATGGGATCCTTGGCCACCAAGCCCATCACTGTCAGGGAAATGCTGAGTTAACTGGCTCCCCTGGAGAAGGAGCCATGAAGACAGGTTTTAGAAGAAATGAGTTTACCTTGAGTCCTTCCATGGAGTGCATGTCTTGTTTTTTTTTTTTTCTTTTATGTCTTTTTAATCACATGAAGGGACACTCTTTGAAGGAAAAGAATTCTTCTGTGTTCACTTCATTCAACACCATCTCAGCCTGCTGCTTCTACCTCCATTGCTAACACATAAATAGCCCTTAGGATGCACCTGCTCTGTGCTGAGTATTTTAAGAATTACTAAACATTTCTAGCATCTATCACCACCTGCCATCATGCCTGCACTGTCTTAACCATATTATATCTATAACCTCCTATCTATCTCCACAACAACTCTCAAGGTTGCCTGGTATGGTCCACATTTTACAGGTGGGGACACTAAGGTTAAAGCGTAGGTAAATAATTTGTCCAAGGTCACCTGTCTTGTCAGGGGCAGAGCTGGGATGGAACCTTCTCTTTCCATGCAGTGCTGTCAATTATTCAATTATTTTCCAACCTCATTTGAACCGCTTAAAAACAGAAACTGTTTTATCTATCTTATGTTATCGGAAAAGAAATTCTCAACCACAGAGCCTTGTTTGAAAATGTAGTCATTCTCTTCATTGTTGTTGTCAGTTACCGTCGAGTTGGCTCTGACTCATGGTAACCCCATGTACAACAGGATGACACATGGCCCAGTCCTGTGCCATTGTCATGATCATGGGTATGATTAAATCCATTGCTGTAGTCACTGAGTATTTTGAGTGCTTTCCCACCTAGGGTGCTCATTTTCCAGCACTCTATGTTCTGTTGTGATTCAGAGAGTTATCACTGGCTAATTTTCTGAAGTATATCTCCAGGTCTTTCTTCCTAGTTTGTCTTAGTCTGGAAGCTGTGCTGAAACCTGGCCACCATGAGGAACCCTGATGGTATTTGAAATACAGTGACAAAACTTCCAGCATCATAGCAACATGGAAGCCACCACAGTACAACAAACTGACAGATGGGTGGTGGACTTACTCCCTTACAAGTAGTCATTTCTAAACCTAGATAAACAGAGCCCTTGCATGTACAGAGAGAAGTTCTGGGTTGAGTATGCGGCAGGGACTGGGATGAGCTAGACATAGGAAAGGCTGGGAGGGAGGACACTCAGCAGGGAGGGGAGGAGTTCTGGAGCTAGCAGGGCTGGCTGGGCACACGACGGAGTGGACAGAGCACGCCTGAGTTATGTTGCTGCCACTGAAACTCCTCAAGTTAAGTCACCGCACGCACTAGGGTGTTGTGTGAGGGTCTTTTGAATAATTCCAGGAGAGAATCTGATCCTGTATTTTAGTTGACTCAGGGTAGACTAAAGAGCTAAAAGACATCAACTGAATGACAATCATTTAGCTGAGACAGACTTTCAGAGCCAGTGGTGTCATGAGAAAGTAAAACCTGGAGAGATCGCAGGAATCTTAGGAGGCAAGGGGGTGGGGCCTGGTGCTCAGCGGGTGCTCAGCAAATATTTGTGGTTAGGATGAATAGCAGTGTATAGTACCAAGAAAAAACCTTCTATCTTTAGCTATTGACCCTCATGGGGCTCTGGAAAAAGAAGGCTCGCATATAATATTAGCAACACTTAGAGAGCGTTCCCCCGGTTCAGACACTGTTCCAAGCGCTCTGCATCTATAATGAGTAACCCTAGGAAGAAGGCACCCCAGAATGACAGTGTCTTTAGACCCAGGTGGTAGTTTGGGGGAGGGGTGATGAGCTCCTGGACCCCATATCTGGAGGCCTCAGTCTTCCAGAC